GCCAAAAATGAAGCATAAATTACTTTTTCAGAAATTTGTTACGACAACTGTTGATTGAATTTTGTTTACTATTAGTCAATCAATTATAAACTAGATTTTGAACCCGCACATCCGTGCGGGTAATTTTTCATTTTATAAAAATATAACAAAATCTTTCAGATATATCATTTACATTTTATTTTTATATTGTATAACTATAGAATCTTATTATTTTAATTATTTTATATAATATATTGTTGTCACTTTTTAAAAATATCAAATATATTTTTTAGATAATGTAATTGTTGTGAATTACAAAATATATGTCAACATTTTTTGTATAAAAATATTACATGATTTAAAAAAATTAATATGTTTTAACAGTGAATAAAAGAAAATTTTAAAATAAAATATTTTACTTTACCAATTTAATATATTTTATATTAATTTCACATAGCATTTTATTTTAATATAATATAGAAAATCATTAAATTATAAAATATACTAATTTTTATTTTTAATTAACATTAATATATATATATATATATATATATATATTAATCACGAAATTAAATAATATATATTTTATAAAAATATTTAACTTTCTTGGTAAGATCTTGTTAGATATTTTCTCAACAGATTTTGTTATAAATGAAATTAAAGATAACTTTATAGTTATATATTATTAAAATATTTCTTCAGTAATATATATTTGGTTGATTAATATAANTTAGATATTTTCTCAACAGATTTTGTTATAAATGAAATTAAAGATAACTTTATAGTTATATATTATTAAAATATTTCTTCAGTAATATATATTTGGTTGATTAATATAAATAATCAAATATGTTATATTAATGAAATAGTCCAATATGACTTTTTGTAGTAGATATAAATGGTACTTCTCTTTTAATATAGAAGATACAATCATAGAAAACACATGGATCTAGGCTCTGTTCAAAAACGTGGCCAGAAAACGCGGCCGCCTAAACGCTACTCAGAAACCAAGCGTTTCGATTTGGACCAACTCGATATGAAAAATCGGCAGAGTAATAATCGGCTACTTAATAATATTAGGCGCCACTAAACAGATTAAATCCCAATTAATTTTTGACTTTAAAACGTTTAGGCTCACAAAAATTGGGCACAGATTCGGTTAAAACCTGAATGAATTAATCTGAGGGGGAGAGCATACTTATTTAGAGTGTTGATCTACGTTCATTACTTCCTCCACGTAACGATGTGGGATGTAGATTAACTTGTGTCTTTCATTTATTATCTGAGTGGATTTTTATTGGGCTTTCGAAGTTTTCTTTTCAAATTTAACAATGTTACTAGACTTTTAAAAAGTGTGAGTACCATTTTTATTATTTTATCTACAGAGTCTTTGCTTTGATGATACAAACTGCCACTATCTAATATAATTTTAAAAAAATTAATACAGATTTTAAGTTATTATTATCATCAATATCTATATAAATATATTATATGTAATTATAGTTTTATTTTGGAAAAATAATATCAATTAACTATGTTTGGTGCTGGGAAACAGGTCAAACTCGCCCAGCCTGACCCGCAAAGAAATATATTTTATCCACATCCGTCCCACTTAATTTTGTGGCTAAACTGCGAGATCCGCAAATAATTATTAAATAATAAAAATAATTATTTTTAAAATTTTCTAAAAGTAGTATTAAATAGTATATTTTTAATTAAATGTTTAATATTGTAAAAAAAAAAATATTTTTAACAAAATTTAGTATATTCTTGAAAAATAAACTTAAATAAAAATATTTTTGAGGATAACTGGATACTCGCAATTGAAATTAGAACAACCGCCACCCATCCCGTGTGAAATACATTAGATCCGCACCTACAACTTAAATTTTTCAAATTGATCGACCTGATCCGTGGCGGGTCAACCTGCGGGCTAATATCAAAATTCATAGCTCTAACTATGTCAATTAAGGGTGATGTGTTTATTTTTTAAAGAAACTTCATCAATAATTAGAAGGTGAATTTAACCCATTAATGAAATCTACTATTATATTGTTTTTAGGTCCAAAGACCAAAAAACTATATTGCCGTTAATAAAAATAAAAATTTGTTTTTATCATTAAGGATAATTCTAGAAAACGTAAAAAAATCATTAAAAAAATTATCCTCTTTTAATGGTATTGATTATTGTTGGGATTTTGATGGGTTATATATGTAGCAATTTATTTAAAAATATGATGAAAATGAGTTTTTCTTATATCTTCTATTGCTAGATTTTAATTGTAATATACATAATTATATTGTGTGATGTATTTACAAATTTATAATTTTAGTACCAAGGATATTTTATACATAAACATGTATAATACATAAAAAAAAATTATACATATAAATAAAGTATTAACCTATAAAAGTTCAAAAAATTTCTCTCCGCGTACTCCCTAAATTTTTTCTGCTTTTCTAATAAATCGCTAGGTCCAGATGTACCGCACGCGTAGCACCTATCGAGTTCCTAAACACCAGATCTAGGTAAAAAAATGAAAACAAACATGTACAAAACATGCCTTATGTAGAAAAGAATATCAATAAAATAAGATTTCATCTCTGCATTAGAGATGTACAATATATATCCATATTGGTTTTGGTTCTACTTAGGCTTCGATATGTACAGCTGATGATACATCAATAACAGTATGCTAAAGAAGTAATACACCGTCAAAGTTGTATTTTTCATTAAATTTTGTAATAAATTGATTAGTAGAGCAGTAGTATTATACAATATTAAAATTTAAAAATTAATATGTATTATATTTATTTTAAAAATAATAATATATAATATATATTAATAAGAAAAATTACATTGGATAGCCATTTTTAGTATTTTCACAAAAATAGCACTCAATGAGAAAAATGACCAAAATAAGTTTTTATTAAAGAGTAAATATGCACTTATACCCTTGAGTTAACTAATCTAGACTTATGATTTAGTGTCAAGTAATGGGGTTTTGGGTTTAGGATTTCAAATTTTAAAATATAAAAAATAAATACTACAAATTTCAAAATAAAAAGGGTTATTTTGGTCATTTTATTTTTTGAAGGTATTTTGTGACAAAAACTTTAAAAAAAAAACTATTTGAGAGAATTTCTTATTAATAATATATTTGTTATTAAAAAATAAGAAATCTTATTCAATTATATAAATTATTATTATGAAAAGATAAAATTTATTTTAAAATATAAACTTTATTTTTGAATATAAACATAATTTTTAATATTATAAAGAAATTAATTATATATAATTTATATATAAATTATAACAATTTATTTATTGGTAGAGTAATAAATGATTCATATATAAGATTATAAAAATTAATATATTTTATATAATTTATTTATTTCTAAATAATATAGATATGTTTATATCTAAAATATAAATATATATTATGTTTTGTTATTAAGTATAAAATATTGCTCTCAATAAAAGTTAAAAAAAAAAATTAATAGCACCTTTTTAAATAAGTTATAATTTTTTTTTTAATATATTTTTACATTATTAAATAAAAATAATAATTATATTTTAATTTTTACATATCTAACTGTAAATTTTCTCCCAAAAACTTCATATGAAAGTACTGAACAAAAAGCATTTGAAAATCATTAGCATCTTACAAATATTTTTCTAAATGCTTTTATGATAAACGCTTATTGGATAATAAAGAGTACTAGCTTTTGACCCGCACGCCCGCGCGGTGTTATATTTTTTCTGAATCTTTTTATTTGTTTCTTATTGAAGTGATCTATATTTACAGATGTATAAATATAGGAAAAAATTGCCAAATATGACTCAAAACTTGATTTGAAATGCAAAAGTAAACTCAAACTTGAATCAAATGCAAAAGTAACTTAAAAGGCTGTTGAAATTACAACCAACCCCTTGTGAACAAACAAAAAAGAGTCTTTTTTTACGTTTCTAGCCCTCGCAAGTCGTCTGTGACAGTTTTTCTTAAAAATAATTTAAAAATTGTGTAATAAATATCTTGATAAATGAAAAATTGGGATTATGTAATTAACATATGTCTTAAGAGATATAAATTAAGATATAAAAAAAGTCAGTTGTTTTCAGCATAGATGAGTGAAAGTAGTGAGTGATGATATTCTTTAGTTTAGGTTTCACCAACATATGTTGTATTATTGTATGTGTTTCTTAGGGTTAGAAATTCGAAAGCATAAATGTTTTTTTGAAAACTTTAAAATTTACCTAAGTGTGTTTATTTTTGTGTATAGTAAACATTATTTAAGTATAATTTGATTTTATAACATGGTTAGTAGTTAATTTAGTCAATTTAGTTTAGGGTTTAGGGTTTAGGGTCTGGACGACTTATAATTAAGTCGTCTGGTAAATATATTTAATAAGGCAGACGACTTAGTCGGATGTATAGTATCAACAGACGACTTAATAATAAGTCGTCCAAACCGGATTTTACCAAATTACTTTTAAACCTAACCGGATTTTTTACCGGACATATATAAGAAGATTTTTTTTTTACGCACTTTTCGCGAAATTCAGAAAACCCTAACGCCGTTTCTCTCAAAGGTGATTTCGAGGCGATTTCGATCCGATACAAGACCAAGGTAAATCGAAGGCTTCTCTTGCAGATTTATGGGTTTTTATTAGGATGGATGTTGTTTTCCTTAACTTTTACCGTTTGGTTTTTTGTTTTCAACGATTTGGGGTAATTTTGGTTTCAAATTAGGATTTCAAAAATTGGGGATTTCAATCGACTTGTTGTTTAGTTAGGTTGGATGTTGTTTTCCTCTCATTTTACGGTCATTTTAGGGTCGTCCATTCTTTAGGTAATCTTTAGGTAGAACTTCTTGTAGTTATCTACCAATCTAGACAAATCACCCATTCATGTTGTACATAAAACATTAATATCAAAATTCTGAGTCAACAACCCATGGTGAGGTTTTGATTACTCATCACAGTCCTGCTTATCTTCAATCAATGACATGAAAGTTACCTAAGAGACGTCTGACAAATCAAAGACTTCAAACTGATCCACATGTTCTCCTGTTCCAATGAATATCACAGGGCTTTTTGTAGCTGCAACACTAACAAGATAAAAATATAGATCAAACTCACTTGCCCAATTGGGAAAAGCGCAAAAAGAGTTTCATATCGACCATTTGGAAGTACATATGCAGTTACTTACGCGCTAAGAGCACCACCACCCTTGGCATGGCCATCCATCTTAGTGATAATTACAGCTCCCACAACAACACTTTGCTTAAATGCTTGATCTTGATCAAACGCAGCTTGACCAATACAGTTGTCCATGACAAATATAACAAGATCTGGTTTCTGCAAAGTGAATAGACCATGATTAGAGCCTGCAACCTCAACAAAGGAACAAACATAAGACTTCAAGATCATACAACATACCTTTGCTTCAGCAACTTGACGCATTTCTTCAAAGTGAGTAGCTTCTTGTTTATGGCATCCACTGGTGTCAACTATAATAAGATCACAGTTTTCTTTCTTAAACGTATCCACTCCCTCAACAGCAGTTTTCACTGGATCACAACCCAGTATTAGGACTTTCTGTTTTCACTATAGTATAGAATATCTTCTTTCTTCATCTCCCGCTTTAACAATCATTGAAGTAAATCCAAAACTACAAATAGCCTAGTAGTAACATTTGACCTCAAAAGAGTAAAATGGCTTGAAGAAACTCGTAAACATCACTTTCACAGACACTCATGTAGAGAAAAAGAAAGATATTTTAAGTAACAGTCATAAATCAAAAAAATTCATGAACTTTCTTTGTTCCTTGAGTCTATCTACCGTCACACATCACAGTCACAGACACTCATGTATGTGAGCTACTATTCTAATGAATAGAATACCCGACCATATAAATTTTCATACCTTCCATAGAAAGAGATCCTAGCCTTGGTGGCATTCTGTTTCAGCTGATCAAAAGCACCAGCCCTGAAAGTATCCGCACACACTAGAGCTGGTTTGTACCCTTTCTTCTGATGATAATAAGCATACTTTGTACACGTTGTGGTCTTACCAGCACCTAAACATTAATAAAACGAAAAATATGCATACAAATTTTCTATCTCAATCAACCACCAATCACAACCTTACAAAGACTTCACCTTGTAACCCGACGAACATAACCACACTAGGTTTAGCCTTTTTGGGTAAAAATGCAGGCTTTCCTGGATCTAATATCTTACACAGTTCACTAAAGATAGTCTGAGAAACACAACAAAACGAACAATTCAGTGAAGAATCAATCCAATTTCAAGCAAGCCATGAAACTCATGATATATAAAACATCTATTGAAATCAAATCTTGGGGACTAACAAGGGAGAAGATGTTTGAACCGAAAACGGTGTGTTTGTCGAATTCATAACAATAAAAGATTTAAGAATTGGATCTTTAAATCCTTGAGGCTTAGGAGAAATCAAACATGGAACTCAAATGAGAAATAGAACATCAAAGAGATTTTATTGATAATAGATTCATTAAATTGAATGATTACAAGTGTAAACTGAATCTACAAATCTCTAAGAAGTGTTCTTGATCTAAAAGAGTGAAGAAGAATATCCTAAACAAAGAGGGGTTGCCTCCTTATTTATAGGAGATGAGGTTTAGGGTTTTCCATCTAAATGGGCCTAATTCACGCCTTTGTGAGGGGTGTTTTATAAGGGTGTCCCGGCAGAATTTTTTTTGGGTGTGGACTTTATAGGATTTCATTAAGCATTTGGGTGAGAATTTAGAGCCTCTTGAGGACAGAACGTTTTCACTCGATATCGATCGCGTTTTGCGCCTCCCCAAGACTGACGTATGTCGCCTTAAGCTCGGCGTCGTACTTCCCAACCAAAGCATTTATGCCATCGTGGCGCGACTCCCGGAGTCATTAATTAGGTCTAATAAAAGCTTAAGTGGGCTTTTAGTTTTCTCGCGACTGTTCACATTCTGACCTTAATGGGCCTCAACTGCCAAAAACCGTCCATCTCCCCGCGGCTGTTTATACTTTCCCCGCGCGAAGAGACGAGCTAGGGACTGGACGAGCTAGCGACTCGGCAAGAAGTCAATCTCCGAGCTAACAACTTAGCAGGCGTACAGAGGTCAGTATCCGAGCTTCGAGCTAGAGACTCGGAAAGCATGCTGAAGTCGACCACCGAGCCAACGACTGCAAGCATATCAAAACCGACCTCCGATCTAACGACATCAACCACATCTAAACCGAGCTCCGAATTAACAACTCAGCAAACGCATCGGCATTCGGGTGACGACCTGGTAGTATGACGAACGCAATGAACTACCACCTGAAAGAGCATCGAAGCGTACCAACCGATCATATTATTCAGTGAACCAAACTAACTTGATCCGCCTGATTTAGGCCATAACTCGGCAACGGATCTGGGGGACTTACTGTAGGAGGTGGAATACTCCTCTTGCTAAGGCCCACCGAATAATAGGCCCAGCCTACACAGGCTCCGGCCCAGCGAGGTAACACTCCGCTGATTAAGGACTAATCAGACTTAACTTGGATAATCCCCGCGATTAACCGAGTTAAGGATGCTTAGGCAAAGCGCTTACCTTAGCGGGCCGACCAAGGCCCATTTAGCGAGAAGCCCTCCATACACGCGACCAGCTCGCTAGGTCAAGGAAGCGCCACTATAAAAGATGACACTAAAGCAACAAGGGGGGGATCCGAAATTACTTTAACACAAAAGGCGGCTAGGACTAGGGTTTTCACTCTCATATTTTCTTCCGACTTGTATGGCACGACTGAGCTCTCCGAGCTACGCTGTCTTACCTCTTGTTTTCTTATTTGTAAACCGAACTCTTTAATCAATAAAACTACTTTTTTGCCACTTATAGCATAACCACCTTTGTTATAACCCACCGACGAGTTCCGTCACCCTTCTCACTGATAACAGACCGTTCTCGGTTCGAACAGAAGAGAGGATAATCGACGAAAAGAAACACTGGAGGCGGAGCCAATCTCTCACTGTAGCCTCCACCTGCAGTTGTGTTGTGACTGTTTATCCCACTGTTGGAGAAAGCCCAGAGAGGAGAGCAAGGCTGGCTAGAGGAAGAGGAGACAAAAATCGAGGATATCATACTAGGACGGATGTGTGCCGTCACCGTCGACTCCGAGAGCGGATGCCTCGCCGGAGAGCCACTGTCTCTATTTCATGGAAGACAAGATATCTCAGATTAATTAGGGTCAATTAAGTTATTTACCAATTAATGATATAGGTAATTATGAAAATGTCCTTTGATTATAGGTAAAGTTAAATAGTGGTACTACTAAATGTGTAAAAATGAAATTCTCTCTTTTTCTTTAAATCCTAAATAAATATTTAAAATAATAAAAATTAATTTTAGAAACATTAATTTTAAATGTTGTTTAAAAATAAAATAAAAAGTAAAGGGTGTTTAATTAAATATTTGATTTCTACAAATCCAAAAAAAAAATATTCGTAAAATAATTTGTTTATTACCAATTTGTATTTTCTAAAACCCTAAAGAAAATATTATTTGATAGTAATTTTTCTTTTAAAATTTTTATATATATTAAAATAAGTCATTACTAAAAAAATATATATACTAATATAATGAAAACAATTTTTACAAATAATTTAGTTGATACTAAGATAATAAATACAAATATTTTATAGTAATTGTCATTTTCTAAAATATTGAACATAGAAAATTGTAAAAGAGATTTTAATAGCAGTTTTCCTAATTTTAAATTCTAAACAAAAACAAATTGTAGATTCTTTCAAATATTATTTATGCTCTTTTTCTTCTTAAACTGATGATTTTCTAATATAAATATACTAAGATAATAAAAAATGGAAGATATTAATTTTAAAAGTTGTTTAAAAGTAGAAAGAAGAAGTTAAAAGTATTTAATTGTAATTTTAATTTTCCCGAATCCTAAAAAAATATTAAAATAAGAAAAACCAAATTTAAAAATATTCATTTTAAATTTTGTGTAAAAGTAATAAAATAAAGGGTGTTTAATTGTAGTTTTCCTTTTCTCAAATTCTAAAAAAAAAAATATTCGTAAAGTATAGTATTAATTACCATTGGATTTACTAAAATTATAAGAAAACATTATTGTAAAATATTATTTGATAGTAATTTTACTTTTAATTTTTTATATATGTTAAAATAAATCATGATTAACATTATATATATATATACATACTAAGATGATAAAAGTGATTGTACAAATAAAAGTAATTATAAGAATTAATTAAGAGCAATTTTTCTAAACAATTTCATTTTACAAAATTTAGACAAAAAAAAATTTGAAAAAAAATTTATTTGGTACTAATATTCCCTTTCTAAAATAATGAAGAAATGGTAAATGAAAAAAATATTTGATACTAATTATCCTTTTCTAAAATCTTGAACATACAAAAATTATAAAAGAGTGTCTAATAGTAGTCTTCCATTTTTTAAACTCCTAAACAAATAATATTTGTGGAATAATTATTTGAAATATTTTTTATGTTCTTTTATGCTTAAACTGGTGGTGATTTTTATTGTTGTTATATTTGTCATTATGTCGTACGTTAGTTATTGCCATAGTTATACTTAGGTGTTTGTATGTATTATATATGTTTTGATATTGTACGTAAGTTAATGTGCCTATTATGTTTTTGTATGTTTGTTTTATAGACGTATAAAATTAGTTATGCTGTTTCTTTTTGAATTTCAAATTACTTATGTTGTTTTTAGTTAAGTTAATGTCAATGCCATTTGTTACATTTATGTATAATTTTGCTTATGTCTGATTGTTAAATTATTTAATTAAAAACTCTAACTTCAAAAATAGTAATGATACGAATTATGAAATAGTAGTTAATAAAATATATAATAGTATTGAAATAATTATCTAACAGTAATCTAATTTTAGGTAATTCTAAATAGAAGATAATTATAAATGATTGTATGATAGTAATCTTTATTTTCTAAAATCTTAAACAAAAATGTAAATATTATTTGATAGTATTTTTATTTTTTAAGTGTTAAATAAAAGAGTGCATAAAATATAATGTTTTCTTTTTCAAAATCATAAGAAAAAATAATTTTTTTGAAAATTATAATAGTAATTTAAAACATAAGGATTTTGATGATAAACATGATAATAAAAAAATTTAATTAAATAAATAAAATCAAAATAGGATTTATCGTGATTGGTCTTTATATTTGTATTTGTATTTGTTTGGTCATACAAAAACATACACATGTTTGGAATATTTTTGTGTTTGGTCATAAAAATAGATTATTATTATTTTCAAAGTAAATAATTTTTATGTGTTTAGTAAAAAAGAAATCATGTGTCATCGCCATCTTATTACATCTGTGTTTTAATATATAGTATTTCTAATCTATTTTTTAAACTTTTGTTAATAAAATTTATCATTAAAATTAATTAAAATAATTATTTAATAACAGAAAAAATTAGTAAAATGGTCTAATTGTTAGTAGAAAATGAGAAACAAGTAATTTTAAAATAATTATAAATTAAGTACACTTAGGAAAAATTACAAATTCAAAAACTTGAAAATACTGAAAAAATTGTTTGAAATACTATAACTTGAATACCATTTTTAATACTACATAAAAAAAACATAACATCTGAATGTAGGATTTAGTGTGCAGAGTTTAATATTTAAGGGATGAAAATCAATTTATAAAATTATATAACAATTCCAAGTGATATATATGATATTAAATATCATATACTTAAAATGAAATAAGAAGAATTGCTTAATTACCTCTAAGATCGTCTTCTTCAACCTTATTAGAATATATAATAAAATAATTTATTTCTTTATTTTAAAATTTATCATCACAAATTAAGAAGTGACAATTGTATGATATTGTCATTGACTTGATTGCTTTATTTAACTTTCAATATTTTTTATTTCTCTCTAATTCTCAATTTGAACTGAATTTGGTTTAAATTTTTAGGTATGAGTATTTTCTTTGGTCTTAGGTACAAAGTTAAAAACAATTCACTTATGTGCCATGATTATTAAAATACAAATATTTACCAATATTTATGTGGGTAGACAAATTCTAAATTCTGAAATAAATCTCACACAACATATACAAAAATAATCATAAAACTAGATCATGGTCTCCGCACCCGCGCGGGCTTTATTTTTCATAAGTATTCTATATAATTTAGTTTTATATAGCTTCAATTTCGTCCAATTTCAATTTATGTTTAAACAACAATTTCAAAACTGTTTTTGGTATTAATAGCATCAAGAAGTGTATTATATAGATGTAACAGTGCAGTGAAAATACTAATTTTGTATGTTTGTTCGAAGTGCAAAATCAAATTCCGACTTAATTTTTTTTTGTAAAAAAGTAAGTTGAGAGTTTAATTATTTCAGATGTCAATAATTATCCAATTTTTTAAAATAATATACAAATTTCTTAAAAAAATTGCCTTAACCTTTATTTTATAGATTAAGCCAAATTCAAACTTAACTTTGGTCTTAACTTTGCAAACGCATAATATTTTATGATGAAAAATTTCATAAATAAGTTAAAAATATTTTTGGTAATTTGAAAGAATTTATGTATTTAAAATATTTTTTCCTTTAAATCAGTATTTTTAAATTCAATTCGAACCATGATTAAACTGGTGATCCAATAATTCAATTTTAATTTTTAAAAATATCCATATTTAAAAAATCACGAAAACTTGAAACTAACCAATTGAGCTGATAGATAAATGATATGTAATATTTAAACCTGTAAAAATAAGTTTAGTTTCGTTGTTTTATATATTATTTGATTTTTTTAATTTATCTAAATAATTTGAAACAAAAATTGTGAGAAGCTATTAAAAAGGATGAGATCTAATATTTTGTATTGCTTAGACAGAATATTAATTATAGTATTGTTTGTAAACATGGATAGTAATATAAAAAAATTAATATTGTTTAGACATAAGATTAACTATAGTGTTGTTTAGAAACATAGATAGTAGTATAAAAATGAGTATATTATTTGGACATAAGATTAATTATAGTGTTGTTGGAAACATGAATAGTAGTATGAAGAAATAAATATATTGTTTGGAAACATAGATTGTAATATAATAAAATAAATATATTGTTTGGAAACGTGGATAGTACTATAAAAAAATATTAGTGATTTAATGTATGTTTAACTATAAAGTAGAAAGATGTATTTAATTTAAAAACTTACAAAATAAATGTTAGGTCCAACCTAATGTTTCTGTTTTAATAAGATAGATATAAGATAATTTATTATTTTAAGTCTTTTGTAAAATTAAAACATCAAATAAAATATGTGCCTGTTAAAATATAAATACTAATCGTAACTTTTATGGAAAAACGAATTCTTAATGTCTAAAATAAATCTCACACAACATATGCAAAAATTCAAAAAACTATAAAATGAATTATTTTTTTATATTTTATAAATATTAAAACATCAAATAAAATACGACCCATATCTAGTTATTAAAAAACTTTCATGCAAAATCTTTTAAATAAATAAATAAATTATAATACGGGTCTGTACAATTCAAATAGATTATATCGGAAATCCGGACGGACAATCAGGTCAACAGGACCCATATTAGGGTCTTGGCAGGGATGTTCGGTGTCATTGTAGACAAACCCGACCCTTGCAAAAATGTGGCAGACTGACCATTAACCCCGATCCCACTCCAAAAGAGCATGTTGATATGGAGCTACAAGCCCAGCTCTTCGACGACATCAACCTTCATAATTAGTTTTTTTCGGTTTTGTATTTTGAATATTAGTTATATTTTGGATATTATATTTTCTATATATTAGATTTTTCTTTTAAATTTTTAATTTAAAATTAAAAATATTTTTTGCCCAAAATTATTAGTTTGGATGTAAATTGGTCATAAATTTTACTTGTCTTTAACGTCTATATTATACAACTATTTAAAGAACAAATATTACGACCAATGTACGAGTAAAAGAAAGAACATAACTTTATATCTTATTTAACGATCAAGTTACTACGACTTCTTTTACGACGAATAATTTTAGTCGTAAATTTTACGACGTAGTTACAACCATTTGTCCATTACGACGGGCTAGTAATGACAAATTGCATTTCGTTGTTAGTTCGTCGCAATGTACCTATTACGGCCAACTAACGACTAAATTTGTAGTCGTTATGTTTCTGTTTTTTGTAGTGGGTCAAATGTACTTGCTTCATATTTATGTACTTGCAGGATATAAGTTATTGTCATAGCAAAAAGTTTAGGATATTGACATCATGTTACAATGTTATCCTTATTAAAAGAATGTTATCACTAAATAGACACAAATTTTTTTGCTCTGTGGCATTTCTACTTATCCGACTTTGGTGGAACAAGGTTTTATGGTAAGTATTTGGAATTCCCTTCTATTGCTCATCTTTTGCTTGATGGACAGTGATGGTTATAAGCTCGTGGAGATCATCGGGAGCTAGCTACGTTAGAGGTGATTTGGTAATTCCCAGCATCGGAAGCAACAAGGAAAACCTCACATTCACGTAGTTCATCGTCAAAGTTTCCGAAAAATGAGCTATTGGAATGTGTCGGGTTTAGTAGGCGGCGAAGATAGTTTGTAATAGTTTGATTTTTGATATTTTGTTCAAAGCGGGTTTGTAACTAGATCTGATTGCCGATTTATCAGGTTGATTATATATAATTAATTTTTTTTTTTTTTAAACATCTCATGATAACATGTAAATAATAATAATTGTTTTAATTTTTTTTTTTACATCTTAACTTTATTAATTTCAAATCAATGTAACATATTACATGTAACATAAGATACATCAAACATGTTGTTAAAAAGAACTTTTAACAAAAATAGCCGTAACATGATGCTTCCTAACGCATTCGTAGGATAGGCTGATTCGGTAGCTTTCTTCTGTTTTGTCGTTGATCTTATAAGATCTTTCTTTTAGCTCTCAATCCTTATAAGTAAATACTTTTTTCTCTAAAAAGATCACTAGACACGATCCATCTATTACATCGTAATCCGTCCCTAACACTCCTGCTGCAGGAGATAACATGTTTAATTATACCTGTCCATGGCGTTGATATTATCTTTCTTCGAGACCAATAAAGCAACAACTTCGAACCGTTTTGTTGTTGAAATATATCTAGACACCTTACTTTAAATCGTACACTTTCTCCTTCACTCCTCTGTATTTTATTCTTAATCATCAACACCACAAGATTTTGAAGGATGACGAGATGAGTAGCAATTGTATGTTCGACATGAACCACCATACATGTAACCCAATGATTATATACCATGTCTTCAACTCTGAATGTATAACACGCATCCACCTCTTGAAATCCCCTGGCCATGGAGGTTTTTTTCTCTGATTCCTTGTTTGCGCAAGGCAAGATCGACGAATGATTATATCAACTTGCAACAAGTGCAAGGAACAGCCATCGGTACTGTAACTCCATAAGAGTAAGAATTTCAACACCGAAGAATGACACTCCCATTGGGAGAAGAGACACACGCCAAACGCTCGACGAAAACACATAAGTGATGATATATCTCTGATCAATATCATAAATGATATTCGCCAGTGACTAAATCCGATCTCTGATCAATATCATAAATGATATTCGCCAGTGACTAAATCCGGGTGATCGCAAGTGGTAGGGTGACAAGAAAACGCGATTTGGTTTTATCCAAATCGAAAAACTTAATGTCCAATTCATCATGAATTGGTTTGATTGCTAAATTAACACTAACAGAAAAGAAAGAACAGGAAACTCTGACGGCCGAAGCCGCCGGCAACGGGAATCTCCGATGAAAACGAGTTTGTGTGGTGGTTTTAAAAGATCACCTTTAGCGTCGTTTTGCAGAGCAGTTTTTTTTAACAGAATATCTTTTATATACTAAAGCACAAGTCACCTAATCAATTATGTGTTGCCACATGGATTAAACTTACGCACGGGATAATACTAGTAGCCTCTATTTTAGGAGAACAACAATTGTTCTAATTAAAAAATAAAAGTGCGCTTCAAAAAATAAAAAGTCACGCAAGTTTCTCTTGTGTTTATGTCATCATCATCATTATCACGCAAGTTTGTTTCTCGTTCACTAGTGAGAGAGAACAAAATGGATGTTAATAAGTGGGCTTGATTCTAGTAATAAAGAGATATGGGCTGAGAACACAAAAGCCGAAACCCAACTAATGACTCAAAACACGGAAAGGGGAAAGGAGATTGGAAAAGGCAATCAGGGAGGGATGAGATTGAGATCGTGCGATCGGTTGCAGGAAGCGTTGTTGCAGTGCCATCGTCGGATGCCGGAAGGACCGGCGCGGAGGTCAGGATGCAGACATCTGAACAAAGCGTTGGCGGAGTGCATGGTGGGGGAGGCTTGTCCTGAGGAATATGAGGCGGTGAGGTCGCTTTGCGCAAGCGGAGGAACCAGCCTGAAGCGGAAACAGTGCGAGGAGGCTAACTTCTCTCTTTCTCTCTGTCTTTCTCGCCATCAGCGAGACTACTTTGACCAGCAGCCTTAGAGAGGATGAATTGGCATTGTTTGATCTGGTGGTGAGCTTCGTGTATTTGGGAATTAGGGTTTAGTCGTGTGATCGGTACGAGAATTGGATATTTGATCTTCACCCACACCCAAATCGTAGAATAATAATTTTGAGTTAGATGAAGAAGAGAGGTGAGAGGATCAAAAGTTGAGTTTAGGGTTCATCTGAGGTTATGAAATCAAGAATCTATTTGCAATTACACAGTGGTGGTATTCATTTGCTTTCTCAAGGGATTAGAATTTTAGAAACATTGTTTTGTGCAAGTGTAAGAATCTTTTAGCTTCTGCTGCGAGTGTGATCAATCAATCAAAAGATCTCAACAGGTCTATTTGGTTCTCCATTGTTGGGAGAAGATGAAGAATAAACTTCACTGTATCCTCCTGCACGACACACCTTTGTTTAGTACCTGAATTTTTCCATGTCATATCTTAGATTTAACACTACAAGAATTCAATCTTTGTAATCGTTTCATATAAAAAACTGAACCCATCTATTTTCTTGTTTCATTTCTTTTTCTTTTTCTTTTTCCTTTCTATCATCAGCTTTTGTTTACACTTCCATCCACCACTCACTTGGCCACGTTGATATATATATAAAGCGAAAATCCACAAAAAAAAAAGAAATCTATCATCTGTGGGGCAAAAGAGAAATGGGAAGGTCTCTAATTTTCTCGGGAACTATGTCAATGAGAATCTCTCACTTGCCCAGAAGATCATCTCTCCCTCTCACAACCCCGTTTACACGCCGGACACTAGACAGAAATTTCCGACATGGGTTGTGTTCAACGATTTCGACTAACAGCTGCAAGTCCACGACCAGACTCGGAACGAAAGCTGTTGTTTCTGATCAGAAGAATTATCCCAGAATCGGAGCTAAAACCACCGGACCTATATCCCCGTCTCACCTCCTTCAAGTCGTCGAAGCCGCCGCTAAAACCGGAGCTGAGGTTTCGCATTTCGTGTCATTCTTTACACTACAATATCCGATTTTATTGTTTTATTGGGGGATTGGTGTTTTTTTTTAAGAAAACAAACTTGGATTGATTAACTTGAGTTATGTTTGTTTTTTAAGGTGGTAATGGAAGCTGTTAATAAGCCAAGGAATATCACTTATAAAGGTCTCAGTGACTTGGTTACTGAGTAAGTTACATAAGTGTACATTCATTGAGGTTCTATCTATGTTTGGTTTGACTTTAGTATCTGCTGATTGGTTTTACAGTACTGATAAAGCAAGTGAGGCTGCTATTTTGGAAGTGGTGAAAAAGAATTTCAGTGATCATCTTATTCTTGGTGAGGAAGGAGGTATCATCGGCGACACGTCTTCTGATTACCTCTGGTGCATCGATCCTCTAGGTTTTCTGCTTCCTCTTCATTTATGCATTTCGCTTTTAGAGAAGCATATAATCCTACTATGACTGGGAATTGAGTATTATTCTCCTCCTCCTCCTCTTATATTTATGCTTTCATTAGATGGAACAACCAATTTTGCTCATGGATATCCAAGTTTTGCTGTCTCTGTTGGTATTCTCTATCGAGGAAATCCTGCTGCTGCTGCTGTGGTACATTTAATACTTCCTTGCATACTCTTTGTTGATGATTTGGTTTATTAAGTAAAACAAACAAACTCTTCATGATGTAGGTAGAGTTTGTTGGTGGTCCAATGTGCTGGAACACCCGAACTTTTTCTGCTACTGCAGGTACAGTTATTTATGTTTCTTAAGTTGTGTATTTGAGATTGCTCTAAACTAGTTCACTTCTTAGGTGGTGGAGCTTTGTGTAACGGGCAGAAAATTCATGTCAGTAACACTGATGCTGTAAGTAACTTAACCAGTTTAGTTTCGACATGGTGCGCACGGTTTTTGGTCTTAATTATACATCTATTTGTTTGTTTGAGTGTAGGTGGAGAGAGCACTTCTTATCACAGGGTTTGGATATGAACATGATGATGCATGGAGTACTAACATGGAGTTGTTCAAAGAGTTCACTGATGTGAGCCGAGGAGTACGAAGGCTCGGTGCTGCAGCAGTTGACATGTGTCACGTGGCTCTCGGGATTGCCGAATCGTACTGGGAGTACCGTTTAAAGCCATGGGACATGGCTGCTGGTGTCCTTGTAATCTTCTTCTTCTTCTTCTTACCAAACTACTAATGTTGTTGAGTTTGAACTCATGTCTCAAATTTTGAACACAGATAGTTGAGGAAGCTGGAGGAGCTGTGACTCGAATGGACGGAGGGAAGTTTAACGTGTTCGATAGGTCTGTTTTGGTGTCCAACGGCGTTCTTCATTCCAAGGTCTTTCATGAACTTTAAAAATGCTTCTTTTTTTTAATCTGTATGCTTTTTAGGGATATTGAGTCTTTAACATGTTTTCTGATTTTCTAGCTTCTGGATAGAATCGCACCAGCTACTGAGAATTTGAAAACGAAAGGAATCGATTTCTCCTTATGGTTTAAGCCAGAAGAATATCATACAGAACTTTAAGTCTTTGTCCTGTACTGTTTGTTGAAGAAAGGTATCATATTGCTATATGCTACACATTATTATATGATAATCGGATGAAACTTTAGTTACAATAAGATTTGTGTTTCGAACAATGATCTTACGCTTCTTGAACAAAGGCTTCATAGATCAGCAAACCGGTCTTCCATCGTCCGGTCCACACCTCGTAGAGACCAAACTGAAGCTTGGTGTCTTGGTTATCCGCTGTGGAGCTAACCAAGATTTCGAACCGGCCATCAGATTCGTCAGGTATATTGACCGGTTCGGATCCGAATTTGTTCTGGTTGACAGATTTGATTTTCTTCCACACCGTCTTGCCTTTCTTTCCTACTTTAGCAGACATGACTAGTGGGGCACCGTCCCAACCTGTAGCCTCCGGTTTGAACGAGATTTTGCAACCGATTTGGTAGGTTTTACCTGGTTCAGTCTTATCGAACGAACCAGTTACTTCTAACCAACTTACCATCTTCAGTTCGGCAGGCACCCTAAAACCAACAGTCAAATTAATCAGTTAAGACTTTTGGTATTAGTTAGTAACCCACAAAGTTGGTTTATCGATTTTAGTCGGTATGAACCGTGGTTCTTTAGGGATAACCCAACATCTTGAGTCACCTCCCCAAACGTAATTAAGACCACTAGGTTGAAAAATCCATGCTTTCCTATTAGTCTGCACAATTTTAACCAAAAATAAAATAAAATCAGATGCAAGATAAGCAATTAAAATCAGAATTTAGTTTATAATAGTCTTACATCAAGTTCCATACTGGAGTCTGTCTTGTAATGAGAACTCTTCTGTGAGGACATTGCTTTGGCAAAAAAAAAACACATCTCTCGAAATGATATTTATATAGGAGAAAAAAGAACAAATATAAAGATTGTGACAGAAGAAGGAGAAATTAATAATGCACTCAAAATCTTTAACTTTTCTTCAGTTGGATGAAGGACAAAGTAAAATAAATTATTCTTGAACAACTGCCAATGAAAGGCAAAGCATATATCCACAGCTTCCTGCACTTAATCTCAAATGCGAATCTGAGAATCAAACAATGTACTTTTCTAAAACCACCCGACACTACTATTCGTTCTGTTATATATTAATTTCACGTCACTTTGAAAAGTGATTATGGTCGTACCATCGTCTATTGTAAAACCGAACCAACAGTCATTTATATGACTTTCAAGAAGAGTCCACTCTTTTGACAAAAGTGCTTTCGACAACAACAAAAAAGTTTGGTTAATCTGAATAAACTGATCTCTGGGTTCCCAAGTAGAAGAATAACGGAAGCTAATCAAGTTTCATTAGTTCAATACACACACAAAAATAGATAAACCAGTCACAGAGACAAAGCTTCATTGGCGTTTAGTTTCTTCTATCAGTCGCGTACTCTCTCTTACAAATCATCTAATCGCTTGTGTAGCTTCCGGTTGTTTCCCAGCAGCTTTCAAACCGCACTTGTCCACTTCTATCTGAGCTAGAGACTCCAACGAAACATCTTGTGGGAATCGTCTGTTACCTAAGAAGAGTCATCAAGTCCAATTCATTCATTATTGTTTCTAATTGTTTTACTTACAAGGAATAGAAATATTCTAAAAAAGGTAAGCCCGAATTCAAAAATTCATTGGATGATTTGTTTTTTTCCCTTATACTAAAAATACATTTACACATTCCTTTAGAAATAAAAAACTTTCCAAACGGTCAATAACCAAACTATTACAAAACACGAACTTTTAGATAGTGCTAGAATCCGACCGTTGCAATCTCAGTTTTGATTAACGGTAACATTATCAGCCATTTTAACTTATATAAGTCAACTGAAACAAAAGTTCTTTGTCCTAACCCAATTGCCTCTCACTCTTATCTCTATTTCGAAAAATGGAGTCTGAACAATCGAATCTCCAAACACCTCCGAAAACTCAATCCGTCAACCACGAAGTCACCGTTTTGAACTCTGAATCGCCGCCTCGGATGCTCCCTGAAACCGTCAAAAATCATGAATCTCCTCCACGAGCCTCCATCAACGATTCAATGAAGAAAATCGTGACACCCGATCGTCTCAGAGTCCCTGTTGCTTTCAAGCACCCAGAGAGGTAATCTTGATTCAGTAAACAAACTGGTCTACACCTATAAACAAACCGATTGGTCCAGTGATTTTTAATTTTGTCATTTTGTTTTTAATTTATCAGGTACAGAAGTCCAACAGACGCAATGATGTCTCCAGTTACTCAAGGTCTTCTCGCAAGAAGCAGAAAGCCTTCCAGTTCTCTTATTCCACCCAGCTTCAACCTATCCAAGGCTTAATTTTTTTTTCAATCATCGACCAAATTGATTATCCGGTCTATCTTTTGTAGCTTGAACCGAATAAAGTTTTTGATTGTTTTGTTGGCTAATATATGTACCTTTTCACTATCTTGGACCTGCGTTACTATTTTTTTTTTGCTCGTGCTCGTTTTACGAGAAATATCAATACAAATCCATTGACTAGTCTCCGTCTCCGATAATCTTGGTTGTGGGATTTCAACTTTTGTGTAAGCTAAACCGAACCAACTAAACTGCTTCTAACCGAAATATAGAAAGCGATTTAGATTTTAGTAGTGTAATATACCAAACATATATTATTTTTAAGAAACTTCAATATATGGACATAGTTTGGTATATAAGACCATCTCCAAAGGTTTACACTATTTTTTACTCTAAAATAGAATCACTCTATAATAGAATCCGAGTTTATTCCGATAATACTCTATTTTAGAGTAAAAAATAAAATGATGAACAAAAAAAAACAAGTTACTATATATTTGGAGTAAACCTATTTTTTACTCTATTATAGAGTGAGATATAAAGTACCATTGGAACACTTTTACTCTAAAACTCTATTTTAGAGTGAAAAATAGTTGGGTTAAAAAATAGTGTAAACCTATCAAACCAATATATACCAAATAAACCAATAATTAAAATAGAATAGTATAATTATATGTAAATTATATAATACATACATAATTATTTTATTTATATGATTTTCATACTAAAATTTTTATTTTAGAAATTTAATATTTAAGTTTCATTTTATCAAACTAAACAAAACATAATTCTTACATTTTGTTCACAAATGTGTGTGCTAATATTTATAGTTATTTTATAATATATAAACCTATCAAACCGAATATACCAAATAAACCAATAATTAAAATATAATAGTATAATCATATGTAAATTATATAACATACACATAATTGTTTTATTTGTATGATCTTCATACTAAAATGTTTATTTTATAAATTTAATATTTAATTTTTTATTGGGGGTTTTGCAAAACCAACCCAAAAATTCAAGTCAAACACAAAACCAACCTCTTTTTTTTGTCATTACTATTCACTCTTAAAAAACCTAAACTCTCCTCATGTTTCTACCTATTTACCAAATTGCCATTATTATTAAATCTGATATTATTTTCGAAAATTATTAAAAACCTATTACACCCTAAACATTTCTTCTTATTTACCACAATGCCATTGTCATCAATATTTGCAACCACCAAAAACCACCATTGATGAGCTCTTTAAGCTTGTGTTTATGAATTTTCAACCACTTATATCACTTTCTAAACAAACAAACAATACTTCATTTCCTCTCATTTCCTCTCTATTTTCATCTAAACAATCCTCATAACTCTCATTTTCATAAACACAAACTTCATTGTTTCGATTTTATCCACAAATGAATCGTAAAGGTTGCTTCTTTTGCTCATATTTGTATTCTGGATGGTGGAAAAGCTTGGAAACAAGCTTTAAACCGGTGTCAATGTAACTATTTACATGCTTTTCGTCATATCTCTGATCTGTATCGCGAAAGTAGACTGCATTATATGTCTACACATCTGTGTAGACTTACGATGCAGTCTACTTGTCAACGCACATGTTACTTTTGCAATTGACCAAAATAATTTTTTTTGTAATGTAGACCTACAAGTACGTCAACGTCTTTACCTTTGAAACCAAAAACAAAAAAATTGGTAGACTTACTAAGAAATCTACATAAAACGGGTTAGATTTGCATTTGACCAAAATTTTGACTTACCAGAGTAGACTTTCGTGGAGATCTACACTTTGTAGACTGCTAGGTAAGTCTACGGAAGGTCAGTATTGCATTTGACCAAAATTTTGACTTCGTTGAATAGGTTTCTTTTGTATTTGACTAAAATATTTAGAAGCTGGCTAAAACTTACTTTACGTGTAGACTTCATATGCAGTCTACAAAACTTAGAAAAAAAAGTAGACTGCATAAGAAGTCTACTATTTTATGTTGGTCAATTGCAAAACTAACCTGTCGGGTTATAATGTAGACTTTTACTGCAGTCTACAGTTACATAGACATTTAGTTTTGTCTACTCGTAGAAAGTCAACTTTGGTCAATTGCAAAACTAACCTCTTTCAAACAAATTTTAAAATGTAGACTGCATAATAGGTCTACTTCTAAAAGTCAAACTCTGAACGAATTCTGGTCAATTGCAAAACTAACATTTTTAAAAATGTAGACCAAAAAGTAAGTCTACTCGTATAAAATCACATATTTTTTTCAAATACAGAAAGTAACCCGTGAATTTGGCAATTGCAGAAACCAACCTAAACATAGACCTAATTTTNAAGTCTACTCGTATAAAATCACATATTTTTTTCAAATACAGAAAGTAACCCGTGAATTTGGCAATTGCAGAAACCAACCTAAACATAGACCTAATTTTCAGTCTACAGACTGTAAACTGAATAAAACGTCTACACGTCTGTAGACTGAATATGTAATCTACCTAGAAAAATCTATCAAAAGTGGATTTGTGTATTATTCATTAAGTTTTTTCAAAACTTTTTTTTATGAAAGTGCGTGTTAGTTAATCAGAAGGGTCTTGAATGATTTTCAGAAGATAATCTGTTATAATTAGGAAGTTATCAAATTTTTTGTTTGTCTATGTTGTTAGCTTAAAATTTGTAGACGTACTTGTAAGTCTATGATATAATTTTTGGTTTAACTATATTGTTTGCTAATAATTGTACATGTACTTGTAAGTTTATTTTATAATTATACCAAACATGAAATTTTTGTTTGCTAATTATGTAAACCGTATTTTTTTTTTGTAGGATATGGCTCAATTACTCATTGTATACAGAGAATGGGTGGTGAAAAACTCTAGATATGTTAGTGTTATGTGTTGAACTTATGAGTTGTTTTATTGATATGGATGTTCTATTATGTATTAGTGTCTCATTGCTTTGAGTTGTCTTCTATTGGATTTGTAGGTCTTTAGTCTGTGTTGAACTTATAAACTATATTGTTGCTTTGGATGTTGTCTAATGTGATAAACTTATGTTATATTTTTCTCTGTCAAGTAGACTTCTTTGTAAGTCTACAAGAAAGAAAACTAATAAATTTTATTTATAAATTAAAACTAGTTTACAAAACTAAACCAATAATTAGAAACTAAAGTCAAACCACCACAATNCAAGAAAGAAAACTAATAAATTTTATTTATAAATTAAAACTAGTTTACAAAACTAAACCAATAATTAGAAACTAAAGTCAAACCACCACAATTTCCCCAACTTGGTTTACACCAAACCAAATCTTTAAAAAATTCTAAACCTAAAAAAATTGAAGACTCCAGCAGCTTCATCTTCTTCTTCCACCGTAAACTTCTTCAAAAACTTAAGGTCTTCTTCCACTCTTCATGTCCCATCAACGAAGAATGGAGGTTAATCTACAGAAAACAAAACAAAAGAAGTCAGATTCAACAAAACAAATCAGAATAATATGGGAAAAAACAACCATAACTAAAATAAGAGTATGGTACACAGGACTTGACAGTGATTAATGGGCACTACACATCTGATTTCAGTCACATTAATTAAGATTAGAAGTTATGAGTAAAGCATGAAACTCACATAGATTTTCTCAATTAAAGTTCAAATCTTTTTAGTAATCAAAAAACACATCCTAACCTCTCTTATAAATGATTCAACTTCAGAGAGTGAGTAAAACAAGCTTAAGCTAACCCAATGCATCCAACTATATAATAAAAAAAATCAGTGTTTCTCTATACATAATCTAAGACAATGCATCCGAAAATATAATGAACAATCAATGTTTCTCTAAACAGAATCTGAAACCTAAAATAAGCAATACATAAATCCAATTTTTAATAGTTTTTTCTATGTAGACTGTATATTCAGTCTAAATTAATGTAGACCTATAAGACAGTCTACAAATCTGTAGTCTGCATTAAAAGTCTACAAATCCGTAATCTGCAGTAAAATTCTGGGAGCAACCTGCAACAAAAAGAGCCAGAGAAATCAATAAAACATAACACATGCTTGTACACTACAAACATGTATTAACTCATAACACTTCATCAATTTTCGTCAACGACATATGCATTTCAATTTACAGAAAATAAATTGAACATATACAAACCCTAGAACGAAAATTGAACACTTTAATCAAAACAATAAGAGATGCAGAGAGTCTTTATAAACGCATAGAGAGAGAGAGAGGGAGGAGAGTAATGGTGATGACGAGGAGGAGATGAGGAGGAGACAAGGCGGAAAATGAGAGTAATGGTGATGACGAGGAGGAGATGAGGAGGAGACAAGGCGGAAAATAATGGTGGAGATGAGGAGGAGACGAGGCGGGGAGTAATGGTGGTAACGAGGAGGAGATGAGGAGGAGACAAGGTGGAGATGGCTGAACGATGGGAGAGGATAGTGGTGATGGTCGTGGTGGTGAAGGTGATTCCGAGAGGAAGGTAGCTGGGTGTGAAAACGGAGTCAAGAGGATTCGCCGAAAATCTCACCGGAAATCGCCCCCTAAACCGCCTCAGATCTAAATGGCGTGATTAGGATTCTTTTTACCAGAAAACCCTAAAAAAGTATTTATATGCTGTGTAATTTTTTCGGTTAGGTTAAATTGGTTAATGTAGACTGAAATATACGTCTACATATAAGTAGACTTTACTGTAAGTCTACTATACCCTAAATATTGGCGCCAATATGGAAAAATAGGCTCCAAAATTTATTTTCATTTCCCGCTTAATTAATTTTAATTTTTAAAATAATTTATTTTGGTAAACACAAATTAACGTAGACTGAAATAGACGTCTACATATAAGTAGACTTTACTGTAAATCTACTATACCCTAAATATTGGCGCCAATATGGAAAAATAGGCTCCAAAATTCATTTTCATTTTCCGCTTAGTTAATTTTAATTTTAAAATAATTTATTTTGGTAAACACAAATTAATGTAGGCTGAAATACACGTCTACATATCAGTAGACTTAACTGTAAGTCTACTATACACTAAACCAGAAATCTCAAACCCTAAACCCCAAATCTCAAACCCTAAATGTTTGATTGATTATTAAAAAAATCTTAGTCATTGTACCAAATATCATATATACAAAATATAAACTACTCAACACTAAATATGCAATTTTGAATCATTAAAACAAAATTATTCTAAATTTAGAATCTAACCCTAAGAATCTTACTCTAAAAGACATAACATGTTAGAACCTTTGGTTGATAAACCATTAACATTGTCTACCACATAGTTCCCAAATCAATATA